GGGGAGGGGGAGGGGGTAGCAGGGCACCTCGGACATCTGGTAGAACTCTTGGCCGTATCCATAAGCTGCGAACGGAGACACACACATTGACTGACACTGTCGTGCATCCGCGCTGTCCGTCCTCTTACCACCTGTTGTGATGGTGAGTGGAGGGCTGCCATGGTTTGGGTGTCCGTGCATCGTCTTGTGGGTGTGTTGTGTGGGAGGGAGCGCCGCACGCTTATCGATGGCGATGCCTGCCTTGGCGGCCTGAACGTCAATGGCCAGCTGAGCGCTAATCAGCCTGCATGCACCACACATCCACCCATGGCACGTTGCCAATTTGCAGAGGCTGAGGCGGGCGGTCCATGATAGACGCCTTCTCGCATGCACCAATGTGTGTGTGCACGGACCTGACCTGTTGTGAATGAGTACGTCCGGCATGAGAGGTCGGCCATCGGGCGACTCGACAAAACCGACCTGCACCAAACATACCATTGCATGCCATTGGATGACTGCACATGCTTTTCGGGCATTGCCCACCGTTTTGAGCGCATCGCAGAGCAGATCACAGATCTTGCTGTCGGCCGAGAGAGTAGCCTGTGAGAACAGCCGCATCCATCCATCCATGCCTTAATGGTCCCGGCCCCCTCAACTTGTCCACCTTTGGAACGAGCGACATGATGGCAGTGCCGCATAGGCGGGCCGTGGCGTCGTTGAGGATGCTACTCAGAATGGGCAGGAGCTCCTGCAGCAGCGACGGCTGCACCGCCTCAATTAGCTTCAAAATGCCTCTCATGGCACTGCCAGGTTTCCAGCGAAGGATTTACAGACGCGATCCGGGAGGCGATAGATGGACCAAGATTTCCTTGTAGTCAAAGGCGATGAAAGGCATTCTGCTGCTCGTCCAGGTATGGCCTGCTCGGTCCCATCTTCCCTTTTGCAACTCCCCGCTGTTTTTCTCTCATGGATCAGGAGCTCCAGCCGTCGCTGCTGCAGGACCTCCTGCCCGTTCTGAGGCGCATCCTCAACGACGCCACGGCCCGCCTGTGCGGCACTGCCATCATGTCGCTCGTTCCAAAGGTGGATGGACAAGCTGAGGGGCCGGGACCATCAGGCATGGATGGATGGATGGGTGTGGTTGCAGGATTCTCTGTCGGCCGACAGCAAGGTCCGAGATCTGGCATGTGACGCGCTCAAGACGGTGAGTGAGAGGTGCTTTTGATATCCCTTCGGTGCAATCATTGCAATGTGCCCTGTTCTCCCTCTGTTCCTTTGTTGTCAGGTCGGGTACGTCGATACACACGATGGCCGCCACCTCATCCAGCAGGGACTCGACACAACCAAGTGAGTGAGCGGCGCACCAAAACACGGCATGCAGAGCACGTGCTCTCCCCCCGTCCCCCCTCCCCTCTGCCTCGACGTGCCTGTGTTCAGGTGGACGGTCGCCCAGGCCACCCTCGACATCCTCGCCGCCTCACACCAGATCCCCCTGCCCCAGCAGACCCCCCTACCGCCTGACACACGCACATCGGCCTCCAGCGATGGACGCATCACCACGTCGCCTGCTCGTGGTGGTGACGATGGCGGCAGTCGCGGCTCTGGGCGTGAGACACGGTGGTGGTGGTCGGAGAAGAGGGAGAGGGATCTGCGAGACGTGGAGGATGACGAAGGCACGACATAACACACTTACATACCGTCGTTATGGCGACATGGATGGATGGATGGATGGATGGGTGTCTCTGTGTGGTGTGGTGTGGTGTGGTTTGGTGTGGTGTGGTGATGTGTCAGATTGGTTGTCGTGTGAGGACAGGGCCACGGCGTATGCGGAGAACCGTGAGACCCTGTGGTTCCTGCACCAGCACTTCCTGCACGCCTACTTCACCGACGTCTTCAATATCAAGGTAGGTAAACAAACAGGCAGGGAGGGAGGGAGGGGCGCCACCCTGACTGATGCACGTCACTGCCACATGTGTTCAGTGGCGCGACCGCAACCGGCTTCCCTCATACTCGCAGAACCGTGTCCCGTTGCGGGGCGCCGATCTCTACCGATTCAAAGTCATGTACAGGTACACACACACACACACACACAGACAGCTGTGCGCGGGATGTGTGGAGTGTGTGCCTTTGTGTCAGTCTCAAGAACCACGACCCGTGCTCACCGACGGTCAAGTACGCGGTGTTGGTGACGTTTCGATCCTCAACGGGGATAGACAAGCGAGGGGTGGGCATACAGTACCAGACACCGGGCGGGCTGGTGAAATATCTTTCTCTTGGGTGGGTGGTGTGTTGATGTGATGCATGTAGGTGTTCTGTCTGCCTGTGTGGCGGGACGTGATGCGCTGGAGGGTGGAGCGGGCCATCTACGAGCTGCAGGACCTACTCAATACGCCAAAATGCAAAAGGCAAGGGAGAGACGGAGGGAGGGAGGGACGGAGGGAGAAGACACTCAAGAGACGGGGGCGCATCCGTCCTCCTCTTTGTGTCTGTCTTTGTGTGTGTAGGTGGATCACCGAGTCGATTGCGCTGCCGTCCCACGGCAGGGTGCCCCTCGACCCCATCCGCCTCCTCACGGCAGAAAACGAACTCTCCTCCGGCAAATACCAACACCTGGTAGGTACACATCCATCCATCCATCCCACCAACGACACACTGACCCTTTCCCTCGTTCCACACACACCTTTCTCCCCTCTGTGTCCTGTGCGCTGCGCTACCCACATGCAGATCAGTGTGATTGAGATGTGTTCCAGCAGCCGCCCGTCGACTGCCTCTGGCCGTCGCAGGGGTGTGTCGAGCGAGTCGTCGGCCTCCCGCGGTCTCCGCGGCAGCAGGAAGCGCGCCCGGAGCCGCGACGAGAGACGTGATAGCCAGAATGTGCGTGTCGGGGGTGTGGGGGGTGAGGTAGATGTGTGTGGTGATGCCGCTGCTGGGAAGCGGCCCAAGAACAGCCTCGACATATGATCTTGTGATCATGCGGTGTGGGCGATGATTGACATAGGTAGAGACGGCTTTCCTTCCGTGGGTCCTCCGGGGTGGGTGAGGCTATTGTGGTGTGTAGGTAGACGGACGGACGTGTGGCATCACATTTCATGGCCATGAAAGTCCATGGACTTGAAGTGTCTGTCTGCAAAAAGAGTGAGTGAGTGGGGCGGAGAGGACGAAGACCAGCGAAACACCGCACCCCACCGCACCCCTTCCACCAAACATGTGCCCTCCCTGGCAGCGTATGCATGTCGTCAGGTGTCTCTGCAGGCCTCCAACCCATATCTAGCAAAATGGCCCGGGCCCTCCCTCCCCCCATACCATACGCACACACCACACGGACCTCCCGTGTTACTTACCGAGACATCACAGCCACACACACATACACACCGACAAAGCTACGAATGCACACGTGCGATGAGGAGGAACACATCACACACAGACCCATATCATTACCCCCAGACGAGCCAGGCCTCCGCCCCTCACTCGTCAGTCATTTCTCTACGACAAACGAGACATGCTTGTTGAGCTGCGACGAAGTCCCAGCCGTCCGCAGCTGTCCTGGTCCTAGTGGCTGCCGGGGCGGTGAAGCGGGCCGCGCCTCTGCCACCTGTGTCCTCCCCCCTCTATGATCTCTGTCTTGCAGCCGCTTGCCGCGTGACGGTAGGGCGAGGGGGGAGATGTCTGGGCTGACGCTCTCGCGCCTGCTGTGGCCGTGAAGGTGTGATGGCCTGTTGTAGACGCTGGTCTTGCGCTTGGTCTCCTCCCGGGCGATCTTCTTGAGGTCGCTGAAGGTCAGGGTGCCGCTGCCATCACTGACATACAGAGAGAGAGCGAGACAGAGAGGTGGTGCTGATGTATGTGTCTGTCGGCTGTGTGGGTTATGGGGGCCCTAGGGGGAGGGGGTCACTGGGGAGTGTGTGGTGCTTAGCTTACACATCGTGTTTGCGGAACTGCACGAGGATCTCTTCCAGCTCGAGTTTGTCGACCTTCTGCAGTTTGATGAGCATGTACATGAGGTACTCCAGCTCAGTCACCACACCGTCGCCATCGCGATCCATCTCACGCAAATGCTGATCATTCAGCAATCGACGGAGATACAGACAGACAAACAGACAGACAGAAAGACAGCACACATCAATGGCAGGCATGTCGCTGACAATCTCCCTCTTCATCTCTGTGTCTGTTCTGTCTGTCGAGTGCAGCAGCAGCACTCAGCCGCTGCAGGCCCACGTTGCTGACTGACCTGTTTTTCCAGTTTCTGCTGGAGGATCTTTCGGTGTACCTCCCGCTTCTTGGTCGACAGCAGAAAATTGGCCATGACGACAGCAAAGTTGATCGTCACCAGCACACCGAATCCCATGTAGAAGATGGCGAAGATCCTGCCCTCTCGAGTCAGGGGCACAAGCTCACCGAACCCCTGATACACACACGACACACGCAGAGAGAGAGAGGGAGGGAGAGAGAGAGCGAGCAATGGAGGCCGCATACATATGGGTGCGGGTGAGGGTGTGTGTGTGTGGCGTGTGGCTGACCACTCCTGTGATGGTGATCGTGGTGAGATAGAACGAGTCGACCACAGACTGGCCCTCATACAAGTGGAAGAAACACGTACCTGCACACACACACACACACACACGCACACTCACGGGTGACCACATGGATGTGAGGATGGATGGCCACGGACCGATGGCGGATACGATGATGACTACGATGAGTGAGACGGTGACGTATCGGCCCCGGGCACGGGCCTGCTTTCGGCGGATGGACGCCAGGTAGTTCTCCCTCTCGCTGTGATCCTGCATTCCTCCACAGAAAGAGAGAGAGAGAAACAAAGTGAACAAAGAGGCCTTCGTCTTCTCGTGTGCGTTGTGAGATGGGGTGGGTCGATGGATGGAAGGATGACTCACTCACCGCGCCCGAGAGGTCTTCCTCCTGCTCCAGCTGTTCCTGCAGCGTCCTGGCCTGCCTGTCCAAAAAGTACTGCAAGATCAGGCTCCACGAAGACCCCACCATGCCCGTCGCCAGCACGGCATAGAGCGACGTGACGATCTTGGAGTAGTCCCTGGTGGGCGTGTAGTCGCCGTACCCCACCGTCGTGACCACCTGGAGAGCAAAGTACAGGCACTCCCACCCGGAGAACCCCTCTGCTGGCATGTAAAACACGATGGCGAACGCCTGCAGAGAGAAGAATAGCGATCGATCCGATCCATCGGTTGTGTGATACACATGTGCTGTGTCTAACCAAGTAGAAGACGAACACAGCAGCCCAAGCCAACAGCACCAGTGCGTCGCGTCTGTGGTCTGCATGGCGCCACTTTTTGCCCCCCTTGCCTCGTGAGCCGCCCTGCTGCGGCTGAGTGCGGCGGTGAGACCCCCACCGCCATGGCAGCCACCCACAACACCGACCATGTGAAACGCACAAGTCCTCCTCTGACTGAAAAGGCATCACACACACGGACAGACGTGGAGGCCTGGATTGGATTGCAGGAATGCAATGCTTGTTGTTGGCCGACTGACCATGCCAATATGGGAGTGGGAGGTGTGTCCGGCGGTGCTGACGGGCTTGCCGTGGCCCGACCGATTCTGCTGCGAAGTGGCCGTCAGCTGCGATGGCGGGTACTGCGAGTTGGCCGTCACCTGGCTGGCGGCATACTGCGCCGTCAGCTGCGTCAGCCCGCTGTGGTCCGCGGGCAGAGGCGGCACCACGTGAGCACCCTGCTTGCTGGTGGTGCTGGTGAGGGTGATGGGGTGGGAGGACCCCGAGAAGACCTCCGACTGAACGTCTGGCACCGGATTGACACTCAGCCGGAAGGTGAAGCGGCTGAAGGCCTTGAAAATGGACCGGGCGCTGCTCTGGGAAGACCGTTGTGGCGGGGGG